GCATTTTAATGATATATTGTAATAACCAATTGTACATCTGTTTTGAAATTCCTTATTTCAAAAATTACCTCTGATATAGATATATAATAAACAGCCTGGATACAATAAATAGAGCATACAAGATGGGTATAATAAACAGAACATAGAAAATTATAACTGGTTCAACAAGACAATGGATTTTATTGTACTTTCATTTTGTTGCACATTTACATTTACACCAATTTAGGGGGGAAAGCCTACAGTCTTTTCCAGAAAAGCATGCATACTGGTGTAGATTTTTGTCAAATAACAGGTTCATTCTCTAACAAGATTTTCATTCTGCTTAAGAGCCTTTATTGTAGCTGTTCTTGCAAAAAGCAAGATACTGTCCCAAAAAAACTGAAACTGTAAATTGCTATTGAATGGAGCAAATGCAAAAGTGTTAAACTGTATTTACATTTAAAAGTTATTTGATCAATATTACATGTTTATTGATCGAGAACATTTGTTTACCAGACTAACTTGAGCCATGTACTCTATGCAATACCATGGACGCAGTTTAACATGAAGTTTAAAAGTTCATACATTATTTTGAGAAACTATGGAAGTATGTATTCAAGAAATTGTGTTTTTCCTCCTACTTTGCTGCTAGCATCTAAGAGAGTTAAAAAACCAAATTTAGGTGAAGAACAAATGATCCTCCTTTTCTGTTTGACAACTATGAAATGCATTTACTCTGGAAATAACCTCTACTCTGGAAATAACAGCTGGGCCCTAAGGCTGGAGCTTGCACATGCTGAAATGATCTCTGTGTCTCTATGATTCAAAGCTTTGTCCTGAGCAAAGAAAAGCTGAATTCTAAATCCTGTAAAACCTACAATTTGGGTCCAGGCTATCCTGAAGTACTGCATCTTCCTACATAAGTTTGCTGACCCATAAGATTTTCATAGGAGGCTCTTCTCCTGAACTCACTGCCATCAAAGGCACATTTAACAGGGACACTAGAGAGGGTCTTCTTTGTGGCTGCTTCCCTGGCTGTGGTATGGTCTCTATTGGGAGGTTAGGTTGGCTTCTCCCCTTTTATCCTTTCACTGACAGTTAAATACTGTATCTGTGTTTTCAGGCAGGCTTTCAATAACGAAGACTGAGTTTCTTTTGGATGCCAGTTTTTTATTTCTTTAAGTACGTTTTAAATGTTTTAAAGCACTTTTACTTATTGTTTAAGTAATTTTTAAAATTATTATTGTATGTTTAATTTTTTTTAACATTGTAATTTAGTGTTTTAAGTATGACTTGTTGTAATCACTGAGTGCCACCTTCAGTTTCCTCATCTTCAAAAAGGAAGACTAGACATTGAAAAAGTGAAATAAAAGTAACACACACACACATTTGGCACAAGCTGTCTCACATATGATCAGATGCTTGATCTGAAACTCTGTCCTATTTATGTTCAACAATCCTGCACCATTATATAATTTATTCTGATTCTGCTACTGTTTCATCACTGAAAATTCTCTTTGGGGAGTTCAGCATAAGCATTCAACACATTTTGAAGCTACATTTTCACCATAAAAATGGCTAAGAACTTGTTCTTTTCCCACAATGGAAGCAAAGTGTCTCTAGAAAACACATTTTTACACATACTGCATTTTTGCTTTCTTGGCAACTTCACACACTATTAGTATGCGAGCCCAGTCATAAATGCAAATATCTATAGAAGTAGACATTCAAACATTATTTTTATAGCCAAAAGAAATATTTTTCTACGCAGCTTCATTAACTGTTTCCTATAGTTGTCTTCTATTGCCTCATACACCAAGAAGTACTTAGTTTCTTTATATACGAATAAATACATCTGCCTTCTAGAAGCAACTCCATATAAACATGCTGACTAAAAATACTAAAATTCATGTGTATAGTGCACAAGAAATCATGAAGAAATGTCTACAGTACCTAATTCTTCTAATGATGGAACACCATATTTCTCATCGTGGTCATCAGAAACGGGAGTTGTGCACTTTGACATTACTTCTGCAGTAATAGTTTCCACAGGGATCTCCAACGGCTCCATTCTACTTATTAGAGTCTGGAATCTCTTATAGGTAAGGGGTGGCTGGCCTCCATTTAATTCTATAATCCTAGATACACAGAGGTCAAAATTTAGTTTCTTTTGCACAATATCTGTTTCTGTAAGTGCAGCTGTAATGTGAGTGAACATTTACTTCAATTATAATACTGTAGTAACTAGTTTCCCACTAAGAAATGTACAAAAGCATAACAACCATAGCCAATATAATTATTTCAGCCCACCAACAACATAAAAAAATAACTAGTAAATAAAAAAAGCATTAAATAATAAAGCACCTAATTAAAGCGCAGAGAAGGAACTAAACAGGTATGACAAAGAGATACATCATAGGTATAATTATAATATTAAAGGTTACTTATACTGGTCATGAAGAAATTACTGCAAGAATCAAGGTCTAAGACATGTAAGCATTATAACCATCAATGATCAGTATTTTAATATTCTGTCCTCCTAATGGAATGTTAGCAGCAATGGTATGTGAGGGTGAATAGATGAATTATTACTGCCTGCCTCAATGTGAACTAGATTTGTGAGGCTATCAAATAGCCATGGTCACAACATAACATCCAACTAACTAGGATCATAGCCTACCACTGGCCAAATTAAGATGGTACCAAAAAAGCTGCAAAAGCAAACAAGCACACATGAGGAATAGCAAAGAAACAGCAGCAAGAATTTTATCCTCGTTTCCATTAAAAAATTTTTCACGTAATACTGAACATAACAAAGGGTGAAACTGCAATATCATGAGAATATTGCAAAGAATAATTTGGCAGAAGCCAATACCTGTAACACTGATGTAAAACATAGTGAGTTTGTGGCCATATACCTGAACAAATCCTCCCTTCTAAGGTAAGGAAACACAATATTTGTTCCACTTGCCAGTAGGGATAATCCCTGTTAATACCTGAAAACACACAATCTGGAACAGGTAGATGTACGTCTGTACAGTATGTGTGTGCATTTATGGGAAAGAGTTTAAATAAACAACAGTCTTTTCTACAAAGCAAGGTTCTATTTACTGAAAAAGCTGAAGTCTGATAGAACTACATTAAAAACCTATTTTGAGCTTTTAGAATATATGCACTAATTAGATTACTAAAAGATAGCAGTAGGGGGAGTTGGCAAAAATTTGAATTCCTTTAGTAGAAACAGAATTTGCTTACTAAAAAATAAATCAGCTACAATAAAACTAAACAAATAAAACACACTAATTTTGTTTTGTTTTTTAAATCTAGATTTTCCATCAGCCACAATTAGATGAATTGAAATAGTATGTTAGAAAAATAAATAAGTCATACTGAATGTGCTTTAAATTTTCAAATAAAGTAAATAATTAACTTATTATAGCTGTTTTACTGCACTACCTAGAAATTTTGTAACACATGACATCTACTACACACTCCTTATACTGTTTAAAAAAGTGAGCCGAGGCTGCCACACTAGACTGCCATATGATACATTTAATACATTACTAAATTATTGAAACAAGGAAAGCATTTCCTTGTTACAAGCTGGACATGAAATTCTATTTCAAAATACTGAAATATTGGACAACACCAGCAATCATTACGTCAGACTGCACAGGGAAGCCATTGAAATCCACAAGCACCAGCAGAACTTCAACAAAAAGAGAGGAAAGATTGAAACTTAACAAAACCTGGCTCCCAGCTCTGAAAAATACAGCGCGCAAAAGGTCAATGAACTCTCCCCAGCCACAAGGACTGGGGATCACTACACACAAAAGACCAGCTAATGACACCCATCAATCACACTGACAGTTAACCTCTCCTCCTTATCACAACAATACACCCAGAACTAGACACACTAATCACCCATCTCCTGAAAAGAACAAAAGCCTATCTCACAGCCATAAATACTCAACTCTCAAGGAAACTACACCAGAGCACAAAGTGCTGTCCTCTGAAGATGCCAGCCACAAAGACTGGTGAAACGTTAGGAAAAACAACCTTCAGAACACGGCCAAAGAGCCTGAAAAACCCACAACAACTGAAAGCATTTTAACCTGTTTCCCCAAAAATAAGACCTAAACTGAAAATGAGCCCTAGTAGGATTTTTCAGGATGCTCATAATATAAGCCCTACCCCAAAAATAAGCCCTAGTTAAGTGAAACCCCACCTTCCACCATTCTGCAGCAACTAGATGATGATGACATGGCTGTATTTAAATAAATGTAGATTGTTGTACATGAAAAAAAATCTCCTGAAAATAAGCCCTAATGAATTTTGGGCAAAAATTAATATAAGACCCTATCTCATTTTCGGGGAAACATGGTACAAATCACAATACACAGTGGTGTCTCGACTTACGAAGACATACGACTCTCTTAACTTGCGGCCAAATCTAGTCGTAACATTTTGCTTTGACTTGCAACAGGCGCTTTGAGATACAACCGGAAAAAAGGTGGGGAATTTGAACTGCTTCCCCTCCTTTTCTCTTTCAGTTAACCATTGGTCAGGGAAAAGACTGCTTCTCTGTACGTAACTCATTTGCCCCAGTGGTTAGAGAGTGTGGGTTTGGAGATAGACTTTGGACTGCCTGGTACTGCTTTTTGCTTTTTAAAAATTGCTGCTTTTTACTTTCTTTTTAAAACAAAGAGACTGCCTGTTCTGGGTGAGTATTGTACAGGGTTTTGCAGCGTGTGTTTGGGCTGGATGGGGGAGATTATGTTTCTGTGCTCTGATGGGTCTTGCAGTATGTAGTTGTAGCATATTTATTCTCTGCTGGATGGGGGGTTATGTTAAGTGACCTCTCTTTTGTTTTAAAAAGGTGTTTTATTTTAAAATGTGTTTTGTTTAAAAGGTGTTGTTTTAAAAGGTGTTTCGTTTAAAATGTGTTTTAGACTCCAAACTCTCCCCCATTGTCTTCTCTCTCTCTATCCTCTCTCTTTTGTACCTAAAAGCCTAAAAGCACAAACCTTTGTCTGACGGGTTTGTATACCCCAGTGATGACCTTCTTTCTTTTCTCTTTCCCCCACTGTTCCCTCCCTCTCTCCTTTCCTGCCCATTTTTTAACCTGTCATCTTAGATTTAAAAAAAAGTATCCCCCTAGTGGACAGATTAACTCCTTTTGCATTAGTTCCTATAGGAACTAATGCTTTGAGATACAACCTGTGCCTTGAGATACAATAAAAAAACAGTTGGAACGGATTAATCGCGTTTCAATGTATTTCTATGGGAAATGGTGCTTTAAGTTACGACCATAATCCAGAACAAATTAAGTTTACAACTCAAGGCACTACACATCTGCATAGGAAAAGTACAAAAGATGAAAATTTTTCCATTGCAGAACTCCCAATATTTGTAACACATAAAACGTAACAGTAATTGAACCTACATTTAAGAAAATGTTAACTTACTTATCTAAGTCATATAAAGTATGTGAAATTCGCACAATGACCTCCACTCCAGCTTCACTAGCCAACTTCTTAATAGCTGCATCTCTTTCCTTCCCAAATGGCTCAGAGTCATATTCAATAGAAAGTTTTGCAATGTTCCACTCCTATATATTTGAAAAAGAACATAATTTTCAGAAGGGCAGTTGTTCCAGGTAAAAGAAAAGAAAGGATAACAAATACAAACATACTTTGAAACTACCAAAAAGGCCAATGGTGTTAAGCAGTAGAGGGTGGACCCCAACACATTCTGCATCACTGTAACTGTAAACAACATTCATTTATTCTATTTATCAAAGTTCTTTCATTGTAAAAAGAGCTGGGGCAAGCTGAAGAAGAATCTGTAGATCTCATTTCTTTTATGAATACAGATGAAACCTGACAAGAAACAGAACTGGTTTAAAGAGCAATGTATGTTGGATTAAAATGCTGTCTCAAAAGCACTGGAATGCTGTGGCAAGCACATTCCAAGCCTTCTCTCTTTCCCTTCCAACTGGTGCTAGATACATGAACTTTAGATAGATGGATAGATGAATTCAAACACAGTAAGGGACCTGGAATGAGAATTAAAATTATACACATCTCTTATGATCTTGTACCAAGAACCTGTATGGAATTCCACACTGCAGACTCTCATTCATCATTCCCCCTCCTGGAGGAGATCGGTTCATGGGACCATGGTTGAATGTAAGTAGGTTTTTCTCTCTTTCAGAAGTCTGTTTGTATATGCTTCACCCTCATTTAACCTGTGACATCTTTAACACTAAACATATCTAGCATATGCTTTCACAGAACAGGGTGCATTCTCCAAAGGTTTATACCACATTAAACTTACTAGTTTTAAAGATACCACAGTACTTGTTGTTTTTGCTGCAACTGACTAATACAGCTACCTTGCTTGAAAATTTAAATTTAAGAGTTTCTGTGAAGATATGAAGCTTTGGTTAATAGCACAAAAAGCAGAGAGAAAAGAACAGAAGACAGAAAAGAATGGATTCTCAGAAATATGCACAGTTACCAAAGCATTGGGTTTCTGCTTTTACATGCATCTTAATGGGCTAAATCCAAAATTAGCCCTACCTACAGCAGCACCACTGAAATAAATGGGATAAAAGCTAGTGATTAAAAATCCCATTCATTTCAACATATCTACTTGAGGAAGGTTTAGCATTGGGTTAAGCCAATATCTGCACTTCAAAATTTAAACAATGTATATATCTGCACTGCAGTGAAAGCAAAACATTAAAAAGAAAGCTATTTGAATATTGGTTTTTATTATAATTCTCCATGTCTTGATACATACATTCCTGGAATGTGTGTACTGTTATCCAAGTTTAGTTATAAGAGTCAGGTTAACTGAAGACCACAAACTGAAGTGGTTCATCTGTTTGAATAAAATACAAACCAGCAAATTCTATTGCAGTCCAGAAAATTCCTCAAATCACAGGTTACTCAAGAGCTCTCCAAAGTGAGGGTGAACACATTGATACATTATAACAGGCTCTTTCCACAATAAAACTAATCAACTTCAACAAATTCTACAGAAACAATGGAAAATGGGTTCCTACAATTAAATTGAGTGGAGTATCAGAATTTACCTTAAAAAGCCTAGGAAACACATCTGCCGGCTGTCCTCGAATCACAAACAAACGAGAATTTAATTTTCTTAAGTTTGCATCCAAGTCTTCAAGACATTGAAGCAGAAACCTGTAACAAAGAAAAAACAAGATAGAAACTGTTATTTTTGTAAGATTTCCTTCAAGTTCAAGGGTTGATGAACAAAGAACAATCATGATCAATCACGTAAGTTCTAAATACTGCTTTTCTGTAAACAGCATACATTCAAATGCTTACACAGCATTTCTCCTAAGTGCCCACAGCACTTGCTGCAATTCTCATTAATCCTTGCATCACTGCAAAAGAGAGGACAATAATGCTAGTCCCAAACTGCTACTGAAGTAGCCTGCTTCTGGTCAAAAAGTGTAGTGTGCAAAGAAAACAGCTTGCTCGAGGCTATCCAAATGAACTTGGAACTTTACGCAATAATAGCTCAATGCTTGTTGTACCATTATGCAAATAGGATACATTTTAGACACAAATTAGTTGTATATCAAGCTGCATGGCTTATTATGCAAGGAATTATTTCTGCAGATATGTCTTAACTCATGGCAATTTGCTTCCAAGCTGCATTGTTTGCCTAACAGTATAACAGGATTTCAACCAATGGATTATTACGTAATAATACACAATGCACATGTTCTAACTACAGTGGTGCCTCACACAACGATGTTAATTGGTTCCAAAAAAATCAACGTTGTGTGAAACATCGTTCTGTGAAACACCATTTCACATAGGAATGCATTGAAAACCGGTTAATCCGTTCCAATTGGAACGGATTGCCATCGTTCAGTGAAAATCCCCATAGGAAACATCGCTGTGTGAAACAATGTTTCCTTCATTGGAATGTATTGAAGCCGACTCAATACATTTCAATGCCTTTGCGAAGTCCTTTTTCGCTCCTGTAAAAGTGTCTTACAATGTTTGGATGCTGTTTTAAATGATTGCAATGGTTAGTCCACCTCCTGAAACCTATGCAAACTGATTTTGGTGTTGTTCTGACACTTCGTTAATTTATGATGATTTTTTGAATTTTCTCCATTGGAAACCATTGGATGGTCTGTCTGGAAGGACAAATCCTGAAGCTGAGGCTCCAATACTTTGGCCATCTCATGAGAAGAGAAGACTCCCTGGAAAAGCCCGATGTTGGGAAAGTGTGAAGGCAAGAGGAGAAGGGGACGAGAGAGGATGAGATGGTTGGACAGTGTCATCGAAGTTACCAATATGAATTTGAGCAAACTCCAGGAGGCAGTGGAAGACAGGAGGGCCTGGTATGCTCTGGTCCATGGGGTCACGAAGAGTCGGACATGACTTGACGACTAAACAACAACAAATTAATTACTTCAATCAATGCAGCACTTACGGTATGTGTGCAATTTCTGTCCCACCATGTGTTCAAAAGAAGATCTACCAAATGGCCAAGATAATGTTACTGAAGTAGTCTAATGATCTTAACATTTTAATTTGTTTTTAATTTTATCAATAGTTCATTTACACCCATAATTTTGAATTGTGCAACATTCTAATACGAACAAAGAAAGAGACAAAATGTCCAGGTATCCACAACTATTTAACACTCTTTCTTCTATATAAAGTAGTATTACTAAACACTGGGATGATCCATATTATGAGAAAGGTGGCGTTCTTACACACTATAGCAGGAGGGAACCAAATGTGACGGAGTGTGTGTTACATGTGGCCTTCCAGACTGTATGTAGTTCTAGGGACTCTTTATAGCCCAGGACCCTTTAGAATGAATATATTTTTGCTTTTTTGTGCAACTAGCTTTCAGTGCTTCTTGACTACAAATGCTTTGATACACAAATGGAAAAAGAGGAGCTGCATATATATAATGCAGATCTTTGGAAGTCTGCCCCTTCTATTCTTTATCTTGTTCTCAAGCTGGAACAGAAAACCCTTGCAACTTGTATGATTTAAAAACAGGTATGTTGAGATAGCCTTTCTCTCTGAGAATAAGTAATTTTTCAAAATTCTTCACATCCCTAGTAGACAGAGAATTTTTTAAAATGGTAAACCAATAATGTAAGCAACAGTCTACACAATGCTGCCAAAGACGTCAGCAAACTCAGACCAATACATATTATTCTAGTGATATTAATCACTCATTATTGGGACCAATGGCATATACTCTTTCAATTTTAAAGCTCAGACAGGATTTAAATGCTTTGTATACTTCACACCTTCCAATACCTATTCACATACTCTCAAGCCTTCTATCAAAGCAAGTCCTGGTATTATATTGCATGTGTTTAGTTGATATTTTCTGATACAATAATTCATGGGAAGTATTGAATTTTATGTGCTACTACTAAGATTCCCTCTAAGGCATGTGCATGCACGACTACCTCCCTCCATGCAGCTTTTCTCCTCTACTGCACAGCAATAGTTTTCAGCCCCTTTAGTTCTGGTCATGATGGTACCCTGTGCATGGGGAACCGAGCCGCATGGGGCAACGTCATGAGAAAGAAGCGGAGCACTGCCCAGTGGAGCTGAAAATTAGAGGGTACATTAGCTACTACAAATGTCCAGTAAAGATACCTTCTTTTACCTGAACAGTGCAATGAAAATATTTCATTTCAGATAATTGGAGTATTTTCTTCTCCCCCCCCCCAGTTTTGATGCAGTGTCCATTTGTAATTTGGGGGGGGGAGTTTGCATGGGGAGGGGATGGAAAACCAGAGACAGACAGATAATGACAGGACCTCCAGATGGAGCAGGATAGAATGTCTCTTAAAAGGCACATGGAAGATTGATCCCAATCTGATTTGGCCAACAGCTGGATACAGATTGGGTTGGGGGAGTTCCACATATGTATATCCAATTTACAAAAACTCAATTTTAATATTATTATAGACCACAAAAAAAGAAACAAGACAAAAATTACACAAGTGTATCTTGTTTTTATCTACCTATAGGAGTGGGAACTAAAATGGCACAGTCAACAATCTACTGGAGACCTAAAATGAAATCAACTGTTGATAACTCTTTGCATATTAAGAGGGTTTCTTTTTTTCTATGTGCATTTTAAAAAAAACACTATGCAACAGAAGGCACTGTAGTCTTCCAAGTATATTCCTCCACAAGACCAATTTCTTTAAAAATTATTTGCCTTTGCTTAATCATCACAACAGGAAAATTTGGTTTTCACTCATAATACTTAATAAACCTACCACATCATTTTTTTAAAGCATGATCTGTGCTTATTTGAAGCTGTCTGGCACGTTCTCTTCTTAAATCCTGACACTGAAATGGCAGTCTAAAGATCAATGTCAGGTAGCGTCTGATGTTGCTAGCAGTACAATATGAAAACAATTTATCCAAGAACAGCATCTCCTTTCAGCTACACTAAATGAGCTCTGCTTCCCTATTCCCCATCTTGTAAATAAACACTGGAAGATTCCATTTCAAACATATCATCTTTGTGTTACATAGGCCAAATTCAGGCACAACACTAAGCTGAGGAGAAAACAGGCTCCCCAAGTGATGTATGAAAGCCATAGTTTAAGACCTGCCTTAGATATTTCAAGCAGGTTAGTCTCTATTTACATCCAAAAAATGGGACACTATAGCTTGTTGCCAATTGCAAAAGAAGTTTTCAACATTCTCCTCTCAAATGAAAAGACAACAATCCTTGGTTTGCAGTTGTTAGTTTAAATCACTAGTCAGTAAGATTCAATTTAAATCATTGTTTTCTATATAAAGGTTCATTCATTCTTCCTTCCTGATATCATCTTAGTATTTACAATCAAGCTGAAGGTTTCATTTTCAGAATTTTCAAGTTTGTTTTCCAGTTATATCAGAAAATTAATGATTGTAGATCTTTTGGCGGCCACTATGCAATTTGAACACATGCATGTCTTGCCCATAAGGTAGAGGAACTTCATTAAAATATTCCTAAATTGGGTCTCTTTTATGGTCTGTTGCTATTATAGGTTTTCTCTTCAAGGGAGAATATGGTAAATCTTAAACTACACTCACAAATATCAAGAATGAAGGATTCTGCTAAAAGAGTTCCACTCCCATTTGCCTGTCCATATCTCCCTACACTTAGCACTAAATATATCCTTATCTAGATCTTTAAGGTTTTGTTTCTGTTCATGGAGTTTTCTTGGCAAAGATACTGGAGTGGCTTGCCAGTTCCTGCTCCAGGTGGATCGCGTTTAGTCAGATCTCTCCACTATCAGCTGTCTGTCTTGGGTATCCCTGCTCGGCATAGCCCATAGCTTCTCTGAATTACTCAAGCCCCTTCGCCACGACAAGGCAGCAGTCTGTGAAGGGGTTCCAGTGAGCACTCAATCCTGAGTGCTCACTGGAAGGACAGATCCTGAACCTGAGGCTCCAATACTTTGGCCATCTCATGAGAAGAGAAGACTCCCTGGAAATGACCCTGATGTTGGAAAAGTGTGAAGGCAAGAAGAAAAGGGGACAACAGAAGATGAGATGGTTGGACAGTGTCATTGAAGCTACTAGCATGAATTTGACCAAACTCCAGGAGCAGTGGAAGACAGGAGGGCCTGGTGTGCTCTGGTCCATGGGGACACGAAGAGTAGGACACGACTTAATGTCTAAACAACAACAACATCTAGATCTATTCCACCCCATATAATCTCCTATAAATGGAACTTCTTGAAACTTAGCACTTGAGATGAGGGGCTGATTCCTGGTATATAGAGTTACAGAGGAATAATAAATTTGAGATATCTTTTGCAACTTTACATATTTATTTATTTTAAACTTATTTTTGTTTTCAAAAGAGGCATATAATCGCTGCAGACATAAATTCAGTTTTGAGAATTACGAAACAAAGCATCTGTGATAGTATCTCCTGGATAGAAAAATCACCCAAAGCAATCTTACAGAAACCTTTGGGACAGCATGACATTGTGATCCTAAAGAATGAATTAGAGGAATTCATTTACAAAACATTTAACCATTACATGATACATAATTAAAAGTTCTTATTTCATGATGAAAACCCTTTGGGCCACAAAGTATTTTGAAGAGAAAACTACAATTTCCCCTCAGAAAGCATTTATCAAACAAAGTCCAATTTTTTTTCAAAAAAAATC